CTCATAACATTATATGAAAATAACCCCTCAGATGTAATAAAGGAAGAGATCTCCTGAGCCCTTGGGGTCAACGGAACCTGCCAGTAGCCCTTGAGCAGATCAAACTTACTTACAAATTTCGCGGCCCCAACCCGATCAACACAATCCTCAATACGAGGAAGTGGAAAGGAATCTGGTTTCGTCACTTTATTTACTTTCCTATAATCGGTACAAAACCGATAAGTTCCATCAGCTTTATTGACAAGCAAGCAGGGGGATGCCCAGCTGGAAAATGATGGCCGTGCAATGTCATGATCTAACATATATTGAACTTCAGCAACCAGATGTAAGAGTTTATTTGGGGACACACGATAAAAATGTTGGCGAATGGGCTCAGCATCCCCAACATCAATATCGTGCTCCGCCCAATGTGTACACGAAGGTACATCACCAAATAAAGAGACATGATGATTAATAAGAGCAGTCAAGTCGGTACGTTCCCTTTCTGTTAAATGGGTCAACATTTTATGGACATTCTTCAGAGTCTCTGAATTTTTAAGACGTCCCAACAGCACCGTATCCTCAGGGAAAGAAACCCCTTCATCAATTTCCTCTTCCAAAGGAGCAGGGGAAATGCTCTCAACTACCAGTGCAGACTTCACATCTGCTCTGGTCTCTAAAGCTTTAGGAGAACGACAATAATACGGCTTCAACAAATTAATATGACACAGCTGTGTTGACTTCCTTCTCTCTGGGGTGGCAATAAGATAATTTAAGTCAGTAACTTGTTTCACCACTACATACGGACCAGTAAACCGAGCTTGAAATGGTGAGCCCTCCACAGGTAACAGAGCCAACACTTGATCACCAGGCATAAATTGTCGTTTCTCAGTTCGCCGATCGTAAAGTGACTTCATACGTCCCTGCGAAGAATGCAATTGTTCTCTTGTTCTCTTGCCATCTTACCTGCTTCATACAATCTGCGCTTAAAGTCATTCACATAACTTAACAAATTCTGAGGCGGTGTACCTTCAGTCCAATTATCGCGGAGCACAGCCAGTGGTCCCCGAACGGTGTGCCCAAACACCAAATCATTGGGACTAAAATGAGTACTTTCCTGGCTCACCTCACGCGCTGACAACATCAACCACGGCAATCCCTGCTCCCAATCACCCCCCAGCTCTGTACAATAAGCACGCAGTAGGGACTTCAACGTCTGATGGAAACGCTCTAAAGCCCCTTGGCTTTGGGCATGATAAGCACTAGCTTTATTGTGCTTAATGTGCAACAATTTCAAAACCTGCGAAAACAAATGAGACGTAAAATTAGAACCTTGATCACTTTGCACAATCTTTGGAATGCCAAAAATAGAAATGAATTGAGTCAAGGCCTTCACCACCGACTTTGCAGTGATCGTACGGAGGGGATAGGCCGCAGGGTACCGAGTCGATGCACACATCACAGTGAGCAAATAAATACTACCTGATTTTGATCTAGGCAGTGGGCCTACACAATCGATGATCAAGTGCTCAAAAGGTGGACTAACAGCTGGAATAGGAAACAGTGGAGCAGGTTTGATCTTCTGATTCGGCTTGCCTGTTAGTTGACAGGTATGACATGTCTGGATATACTTTGACACATCCTTCTTCAATTTAGGCCAAAAAAAATGACGAAGGATTCTGTCATAAGTCTTTCTTACCCCTAAATGTCCAGCAAGTTTATCATGAGAAATCTCCAACACCAATGAACGATATTTCTCTGGAACTACCACCTGCAAGATAGGATCCCCAGCAAAGTCACTTCCATGAGGAATCCATTTCCTCACCAACATTCCATCCTGCAAGAGATAACCCTGAGCAACATGCCTAATTTCATCAGGAGACATCACACTCTCAAACAATTTATGGAGAGAAGAATCAAGTTTCTGCTCCTGGATCAAATCAGAAGAGGAAACAGAAAAGTCATCAGGCAAGGAAAATGCTGGTCTACCCAAAGAATCAGATGTTAACCTTGGCTGTGCAGAGGTCATGGATCGAGTTACAGCACAAGCAGTAAATACCTGCGGAAAGTTCTTGTTGCTCTCATCAGGACCTGGAAGGGGAAAAGATGAAACAACAGGAGGTGAAAAGGTAACAGGCCAAACCCTGCCCCCTGCCAAATTATTTCCCAGGATTATATCCACCCCCTCCACTGGTAATGATGGACGCACTCCAACCACCACCTCTCCTTTCACAAGTTCAGATGACAACATAATTTTATGTAATGGGACAGATAGGACATTTAACCCAATTCCCCTAATAAGAACACTAGTCTCAGTATCACTCACAGAGGAAAAAGGCAGCACGTCCTGCAAAATAAAGGACTCCGAAGCTCCCGTGTCCCTCAGTATCGTTACTGGAACATTTGTCTCTTTACCAACAAGCGACACGTGCCCATAAGTAATAAAAGGTGCATAATCTCCATCTTTTAACTGGTCAACTGCCGTAGGAGATCCTTCAGAAGACAAGCCAACAGAATTCAACAATGGTGCCACAAGACCTGCTGGTTTAACGCAAAGAACCTTTCCTCCTTTACTCTTAGCCTTAAGCACAGGACACTCATTTTTCCAATGGCCTTTACCACGACAATAGTTACAGATCAGAGATGAATCCTTGGGCATGCGATCTACTTTACCTTCAAAAATATCATCCCTTTTCCAAAACTCAAAACTACTCTTGTGCGTTAAAACATAGTCATCAGCCAACTCAGCAGCTTTAGCAGTTGTTTCAGCTTTCTGCTCATTTATGTATGTTGCTATTCGAGCAGGAACAGAGTTCTTAAACTGTTCAAGCACAATTAAGTTAGTCAACTCTTCAAACGTGGTTACCTCAGATGCCATACACCAACGATTAAACGCAGAAGTGAGCTCCCTAGCAAACTCCACATGAGCCTCCTTTACACCCTTGGACAATGTTCTAAATTTTTGTCGGTACGCTTCTGGTACTAACTCATAAGCTTTTAAAACTGCCGCTTTAACGGTATCATAATCGTTGCAGTCCAAGTGTGACAGGGCAGAATAAGCTTCTTGAGCCCGGCCAGTGAGCACACACTGTAAAAGCAGTGTTCGTTCCTTACTAGGCCAACCTCTTGCCTCCGCTATTCGCTCAAACAATATAAAAAAGGTATCTGGGTCTCGCTCGTTAAACTTAGGCATTAACCTCAAATTTCCAGCAGTGTCAAACACTGGAGAAGCACCCTGCAAAGCATCAGTTGAACCATTTAGCCCACCTTCTCTTATGATCTCCAAGCGGTATTTCTGCAGCTCAACATTAGTCTGTTCATTTCTAGTTTTCTCACGCTCTACTTCCAACTTCAAACGTTCCTGTTCAAGCTGTAACAACAATAAACGTTCCTGTTGTTCAAAAGTTAAAGAGCCGACATGAGGTTTAACTTGAGAGGTGATAGCTGTATCTGACTTTTCAAACAAGACGGCCTTCTCTATTAGTCTTGTTTTAAGTACCTCTCTAATTGTACTATCCTTTAACCTCTTATCTCCAAGTTCAATTTCATAATGATCCGCAATTTCAAATAACTGATCTTTTGTACATGAACCAAGCAAACCTTCAGAAGGAGAACTAATAAACTCTACAACTAGATTAGACATCTTTCCACCTTAAAATGCACGTTACAAATAGAAGTGTTTTACAAACCTCAGCAGGAGTAATAAAATGGTTCCCTCTCCCTAGCTATAACAAAAAAAAAAAAAATTCTAGCTAACTCAACCCTATAATCTTCATGTGGTTACTGGTGAGGGGTATTTTAAGCACCAAATCCCACTAGTACAAAGAAAAGCAACCAGCACGCTGGCGACTCACTCATACCATGGATATGCACCCGAGACCACTGCTCTACTCACGTTCGCCACACAAAAATAAAAAAAAATTACATTCTATCCACTTGTTCCAAAAAGGAACGAGCAGCTGAACCTAACCAGGGAACACAAATAATATTCCTCCCACAAAAGGATTTGCAAAAACACTTACCTTTTACAGATACAGCCCTCCACACATTCCGTTGTCAAAACCAAACAAATCCAACGCGTATTTCCTTCAAAGTACGATGTATAAAACATCCCAAACAATAGCGCTTAAACGATCTCTCTTACAATTTTACATTCGGTTAATCAACACGCAAATTACCTTACAAAATAACCAAACGCAAAAAAAACAAAGCGCTTCCAAATCATGACGAAATACAACTGGAATTTTCAAACGTTAAAGGACGGACGAGCCCCCATTTGTCACGGCCGTGGTGTCAGAAGTGGGATCCGAACCCACGCCTCCACGAGGGACGAGCCCCCATTTGTCACGGCCGGCTCGCAAGCCGCAACAAAGAAGGAGACAACACGTTGGATAATGCTCAAAAAGAATAACATTTATTTAAGTAAGAATAATTAAATGAGACGAGACGCAAAACAAAGCAACAATCGGATCCAAGACACAAACGCCACGAGAATGGTGAGAGCGCGCCCCGTCACAGGTGAAGGGAACTGCTTTATTTGCCGGCATCAGTTCCAACACAGGTGTAACTCCTTAATCAATAATGACGTCACTCACTCTAACTCCATCCTGCAAACCAAACAAAAAGAAACACACAAACCACAAATATAACCCATACTGGGTTCATAACAATACATATAAATTATATGTATACATATCAAATCTGTATGCTTTGCTAGTACATAAGTTAACTAATACAGATATTAATCGTCATTTATAACATATTTCAAACAGCATTTGTCACATTTTTATGATTTTTATAAGAATTGTAATCCGGCGCTAAAGAGAGTGTCTATTAAAAGTAATTTGAGCCAATGGGATCTCTCGGATCTCTTGGAGGTCCTAATGGAGACTCGATTTTGAGGAGGACCTGATTTGTCACCACACCGGTTCACAAAGAATGCATTTTTTTCTTTATATATATATATATATATATATAGTAAAATTATGTGTTTAATTATGTGTACTCTGCCTGTATTTCAGGGTTACCAGATTTCTCTCAAGAGCTCCAAAGGTCCGATCGACGTGTTTCTGTGTCCTGAGGACAGTTCTGGGGTCTGTAGTCCCGTCACTGATTGTAGTCCAGCGAAATCGTCCAGTCAGAGCCCACCGCAGTCTGATCTCGCATCACAGGAAGTGACATCATCAACGCCGACTACTCTCCCTAGCTCCTCCCCCCTGCCTCTCGGCACAGACCCGGGTATGTGTGATCCTTTAAACATGATTGCATCTTAATTTACTATAAACAATTGTTGGCTTGTTTGCCACTTTAGCACAACAAATACCAATATTGCCTGATTTACTGTATTCTAGTATTTGTTATATTTTCCAAATGTATAATTTCTAAACATTTTATGTTTAGAGAAAACATGGTATATATAAATGTAACTCCTATATAGGAGTTTTAACATTAAATCTAAATTTTAACATGTAAAGTCCAAATATAAATATTAAAGGTATTTTAAAATTAAAAATAAATGTTTTAAATATTAAAAGTAAATCTTAATCATAAATGTTAAATATTAATATAAAATATATACATTATTGTGAAATTATTTTCCAAATGTACATATTAAAGGTATTTTGATCTTAAATGTAAATCTTTAGGCATAAATGTTTAATTCAAATAACATTTGTGATTTACATTTATATTTAACATGTAGATTTGAAATAATTATAAATACAAATTCCAAATTTACATATCAAAGGAATTTTAAAATATTAAATATAAATGTGATGATTTTAAGTGGGCATAAATGTTAAATTCAAATGTAAAATTTGTGATTTTATATTTTACATTTATTTTACACAATCACACACACACACATACAATATATATATATATATATATATATATATATATATATATATATATATATATATATATATATATATATATATATATATATATTAAATGTAAATGTAATGATTTTAAATGCAAATCCTGGGCATAAATGTTGAATTCAAATATAAAATTTGTGATTTTATATTTTATATTTTACATTTATTTTACACACACACACATATATATATATATTAGTGCTGGGCAACGATTAATCGCATCCAAAATAAAAGTTTGTGTTTACATAATACATGTGTGTGTGCTGCGTTTAATTATTTTGCATATATAAATACACACATGCATGCATATATTTAAGAAAAATGTGTTATTTATATATAAAAAATTTAATATTTATATATAATATAAATTATGTATAAATATATTTCTTAAATATATACATGCATGTGTGCAAAATAATTGTACACAGACAGTACACACACACATATTATGTAAACACAAACTTTTATTTTGGATGTGATTAATCACGATTAATTGTTGCCCAGCACTAATATATATATATATATATATATATATATATATATATATATATATATATATATATATATATATATATATATAATTCTATTTAAAATATATAAAAATAAAAGCCTTTTGTAAAGCTGTTATATAAAAATATAAAAAATGTAAAATAATTATACAACAATTAATAATTAACGCTCTGATTGTTTTACATTTCACTTTGTAATAAATGATCCAAAAATAATTTTCTTTCCAAAATTATTTTAATTTCCCATTTTCTTGAATCATTGATGATTTCAGAGTCATTTCTGGACTCGTTTCCTGGCATTTGCGGGATGCCAGATTTCGACCTGTCTCCTTTGGGCTCGTCTGAGTTCCTGCTGGAGCGGGGCGGCTCCTCGGACGGCGGCGGCGGCCTGGCGCTCGACGGCTTCATCTGTCTCTCTCCTCCTCACAGTCAGGACTATCACTTCGGCCTGGAGGATCACGAGGGCGTCAGCGAGCTGTTCGACTGCGACTTCAGCGACCTCGGCCCTCTCGAGTTCTGACGGGTGAAACCGGTTTCACATCGCTTCACTTTTGAATCCAGATTTGCTCGAACGCTGCCATTTAATTTATTAATAGAAACAAGTCACCTTTAATCTCTTTTGGATTCATGTTTATTTGAATTGATTGTACGTGTAATGTCGTCAGGAAGGGTTTAGGACGTCCAACTGGATAGAGTTTGAATATAAACTGACAGGTTTTATGGACTATTTCTCAGGTGAGTGATTACGTGCTAGTTACCGTATGTGTTTAGGGTCGGGTTATGTTGCATATGTTGGTTATGCAATGCTGCACGATAATCAATCCGTCATCGCTCGCACGGTGACCGAGAGGATTTGCAGAAAATGAACTTTTCACAGTCAGAGTGTTGAGATCGATATTTCTTTTCTAATCACAATTCTATTCACGTGTTCTGTACAAATGTTCATCATGTCACAGATTCTCTCGCGTTCATGAGTTTTGCATTGTGTGTGCAGGCTTGTGGGATTTTTTATCGCTGTTACAGGAGACGTTCTGTATTTATTTGCATTCAAATCTGATCCTGGTACAGTAAATGTCCACAGTTATATACAGGTGAAACTCGAAAAATTAGAATATCGTGCAAAAGTTCGTTTAATTCAGTATTTCAACTTAAAAGGTGAAACTAATATATTATATAGACTCATTACATGCAAAGTAAGATATTTCAAGCCTTTATTTGTTATAATTGTGATGATTATGGCTCACAGCTTATGAAAACCCCACATTCAAAATTTGAATATTGTGAAAAGGTTTTCATAAGCTGTAATCCATAATCATCACAATTATAACAAATAAAGGCTTGAAATATCTCACTTTGCATGTAATGAGTCTATATAATATATTAGTTTCACCTTTTAAGTTGAAATACTGAAATAAATGAACTTTTGCACGATATTCTAATTTTTCGAGTTTCACCTGTATATATATATATATATATATATATATATATATATATATATATATATATATATATATATATATATATTAGTGCTGGGCAACGATTAATCACACCCAAAATAAAAGTTTGTGTTTACATAATATATATATGTGTACTGTGTATAATTATTTTGCATATATAAATAAACACATATGCATGTATATATTTAAGAAATATTACTGTTTATATATACATAATTTATATTATATATAAATAACAAATTTTTCTTAAATATATACATGCATGCGTGTGTATTTATATATACAAAATAATTATACACAGTACACACATATATTATGTAAACACAAACTTTTATTTTGGACGTGATTAATCGTCGCACAGCACTAATATAAATATATATGTATAATATACCCCTGATAATTCACTTGTCTTATTTTTGTTTGTTTTTCCTGTGCATGTGTGTACAAATTCATATCCTTTCCAGCCTTATCTTAAATATTAATCTTTATATTTAAAAAAAAAGCACTATGTTTTTGTTTTTATTCCTACTAGGATTCCCTGTTGTCCAAGTGTAGAAATATCTATTTTCTTACTGGAGTTGTTCTTTTCTCCAGCGTTTAAGTGTTTTAGAGTCTTTATTCCACTTAAACTGTGCTATTAGCTACAGTATGTCAGACGAAGTATATATATATGTCATTTGAAAGGATTATAATGATGTAATGTAATTTTAGTGGAATATATAAATGCATTTTGATAGAGTAGATTTGATTATAAAGGGCTCTGAAGTTCATGAGGACAATGTTTGATAAGCTCTTCGTCTTATAAAATGTATAATTTAATGCAAATTGAGCTTTTGCATGTAGATTTTTCTGGGATTTGCTTTATTCAGTTTTCTGAAGGCAGCTTTTGTCTTTTGGTTGAATGTGGTTTTTGTCTATTTGGACAGAGACATAGCTGTGTAAATCATATATGTGCATGTGTATGAGTTCTAGTTTTGTGTGATTTTTGAGTTTGTTTTATGATTTTGTTGTTTTGTGAGGTCGAGTTGTCTGGGACAATTCGTATGACCGGATCAAATGCTTCGGTGAGTGTGATTCGTGTTTATGTGGTTGTACAATAGTAATATTTTTGTAATAGGGCTTTTTTGCATAATTGGTTTTCCTGTTTACTTTATATGAACCACTTTAAAAAGTGGCCAGCAGCGCAAATGAACGTGTGTAGACTTTTAAAATTAAGTACAAATAAAATCCGATTTTGAACTAAAGTCCATTTAAATTGACTCGGGAATTATGTGTTTTAAATTCCAGTTGCAGTGTTTGTAGTTATAAAGGTTTGAAGTTTAAGATGTGTATTTGTTGAGTACTGATTCATAGTTTCAGCAGCAGAAGGGATGATTATGTTTGTGATGTCAATATTATAGATTATCACCCGTCAATCACATATTGATGGATTGTCTTTGTTCTGACAACATGAATAAACCTTTTGACCTAAAATCACTCATGATCTTGCAGAATATTCTTTCTTAACATCTGATGAGATGCTGTAACTGCTCTGAATGGTCGTCTATAAGATCATTTTAATGGTTTAAATCAAATTTAACTTGTGTTTGCTTGAGAATAAACCTACTTGACATTTAATTTAGGTTTAAAACGCAACTAAAGATGTTTATTCTGAGAGACACTGAATATTTCCATCAAAATCGATGATGCAACTGCTGGTTTTGTTACCCATGTCCTTCCAAACAGTCATGTTTGTTGCAAGTTTTTAACTTAACATTAATTGTTATAATGTTTTGTCATCTTTGACTATTTCTGGAATAACACATCATACTGCTCATACTTTTCTAGCATACAGTGCAAATGCGTGTATAAACTAGCTATCAGGCTAAACTTTATGCTATGCTAGTATAAGTTAACAAATACAGACATTAATGGTCATTATAACATAGTTAAACAGCATTTATCATTACATTTTGTAGAAACTATTCAGTTAAAAATATTCTGTAACCTATTAAAAATCATTTTGGAGTCCTAATGGAGACCCAATGGGCTATATGCACGCATAACTTCCGCGTTTGATGCAAGGATGCTCTTGCGTTTCCGGTTGGGGAGATTTAAAGCGAAGGAAAACCGAGGAAAACGGGATTATGGCAGAGTCTTCAAAATTGACTGTCCTCTCGTCTTTGAAACGAAACTTTAATACGTTTAGATTTAATTTTATATATAGTTATGTTTATTTAATATAATAAACAAAGAAGCATAAACAAAATGAGGGGTGTCTGTTTTGTCTGTTTTTGTGACTAACGTTTCTTTAGTATAGCAATAGAGTATAAAAACCAATATAAATTCTCAGGTATAGCATTGGACTCCACGATCGGGATTCGAGATTTTGACTTGCACATGTTTTCTCTTCACTGACCTGCGTCTCGTGTTTTAAACAGAAAAAATGCGTCCTGTGTGAAGTGTGAACCGACCCTATGTAAATGACTATACTCATAGAGGGGTTTCACGACGCGTCATCAATCCGGAAGTCGGCCATTTTGGAGGCACAGAACGTAAATAATGCCATTGAACTGAATGGACTCGCAAATTTGGCTGATTATTGCTGCTGAAAAATGGTCGAGTTTTGGTCTGTACCAATCGGTCACATCGGGAAAAAACATGTCGAGTGCTATAGACTGTCAAAAGTTAAAGAGAAGAGTGCAAAAAACTTATTAAAATAAGGCGTTTGTGGTTGAGAGAGGTACAGCATCAGACACATGTAGCTGCTAAATGATGAAGCGTTGACTATGGCTAAAATGTCGACCTAGTTAACTATGGCTACATTCACACTGTCAGTCCAAATCCGATTATCTTTGTATCAAATTGGAATCTGATCTAAAATGATGTCCACACTGTGTATCGCAACTGTTCAGATCCGACGTGTGTGTCCATGCATGTTATTTGGTAATATGGCAATGACTTTGCGTTGATAAGGGGGTTGCATTTGCAATATAATGTTAGATGTTGTCTTTTTTTAAATGTTACAAATGGAAATGTGTAGCCGCCGCGCTGGACTACTGCGGCAGAACTGTAGGAGGCTGCATGTACGGCTTTTTTCCCACGCTCGTCTGCGCCGGTTTCAGAAATAATAATTTTCTGCTCGTCCGGCACTTTGCAACAACACAGCATTATTTCGACAGTGACTTTCAGCATGTTTCCTATAAATGACGTTTGCATTTTAAGACATACCACGCGAAATCCGATCGTTCAGACTGAGGCTGATGTCCTGATATGTGATTTGAATAGGATTTCAAACCACGGATGTAACTTGAAACGGATTTCATGTGCTTTTTTGGAATGACAATCTGAACGTATCCTATGTCGGTATTATAATAAATAGATGGAAGAATTGCAGTAATGTTACGTGCTAGAGAACCTAACTCGTTCGGATCTTTACCACATATTAACTTTAGTTTGTCAAAATGTTGCGCTCTCTCCTGCTTCCCAAGTCCTTCTCTATATGATTTCGCACCTACCACGTGTTTTTTCCGTGGTTTATTAGTGTAACAATGTGTTCAGTAGTACATAAACAGTGCAATCCATGCTGTTGTTTACATCCGAGTGCCTCCATAATGGCCGCGCATCCGGGTTACCGCCCAGAACGTGACGTTGGTGAAACCCCTCTATAGGCTACTGGGAAAATGTGAGACAATTTAACACAGAATTGCTTTTAAAAATGCAAAATAACTGTTTATAGTGACTGTTGCATATGTTTATTATTGAATACAGTTACACAGACTACTTTTTACAAAATAGTAAGCGTTATACTGTCTGTAAACAGCCTTTCAAATTGGTATTATGCAGCTGAAACTGTAAACACATTACTGACCAGCAGATGGCGCTCTTATCAAACACTCATCTGGCAGGAGTTTGAACTTACCCATACTAATAATAATAATCAGATGGAAACATAAAGTTGTTTATATATATGACCTCACAGTCCAATACAACCAGAGTCAGGTTGATTTAATCAGCGAATGATTGACCTGCAGGTGCAAATAATTACCCTCATTAAAACTGATCTGGACCATTAATAAACCTCACAATGCTAATTTCTCTGT